TGCAGGTACGCCAATGTCTTCCTACAGCCTGTGACTGATGATATAGCACCAGGCTACCACAGTATTGTGCAGAGGTGAGTCTCGGCAGTCTTCTCTCATTAGGACTCTGTATATTTGCATATTTGCGTAGGGATTTCTGGCAGGAACGATGTAGTTTTTGGCTGCCATGCAGACTGCAAGACTCGGAAAATTTTTTTTTTCTGGCATGATTCAGTCAGAAACAGGTTTCCCCAAGAAAAGGGTCGTCTTCAGTAACAGATACGCGTCTTTACACAGCCCTGTCTTTGAATGAAGTACGCTGACTTACACAGAACATTTTTTATCAGTAAGGTGGTATGTGACTGATCTGCTTCTCCGAGTTTCTGTCCAAGGGTAGGATTTAATATTTGAAATTCCCAAGACCTGTCTTCTTCAATCAGCACTTTTTACTGCCCCAGATAGTGGACTCTTCTGGAAGAATTACCAGAATCCCCTGCTAGCCCCCAAAATCTCTCCTAAACCGTTCAGTGGCTGCAGCTCTAGCTCCTTAGTGTCTCCTCCAGTGATGCCTCTCCTGAGGCATCTGTGACGCCGTTGTTACCATTCATGGTAACTGGTGGACAGCTTGTGTCTTCTGACCCGAGGCCTTGGTACTCGGGAACACAGCCTGTGTGGGGGAGAACCTATTTGGCTAAATTAAATAGATGGTTTAACGAGATGTGTCACAGACCCAGGGCTGTTTGCAACAGAGAGGGGCAAGAGTTAAATATTTCTGTTGCTGTTTTGACTGCATTTCTTTCATAGGCCAATGGATTTATCTACCATCAAAAAGAACATTGAGAATGGGCTGATACGAACCACAGCTGAGTTCCAGCGTGATATTATGCTGATGTTTCAAAACGCAGTTATGTACAACAGCTCTGACCACGATGTGTACCACATGGCTGTGGAGATGCAGCGAGATGTCCTGGAGCAGATCCAGGTAAAGTACAGACCTGAGGCCAGTGCAGGGCAGAGCATCTGCCTTGGTCCGTAGGGATGAGGACTTCGGGATGTGAGACGACAGTTTCACTCACGGTGTCTTTGAATGAAGTAGTCACATCTTTCCCTGCATCTCTCTTGTGCTAGCTCAGGTGTTTGTGGTGAACTAGACTGTGGATAATTTAAAACTAACACAGCAAAATGTTTTTTAGGTTCAGCCCAGACCTATTTCAAATCTAATTTCCTTCAGGGAAATGCTTAGGCCAGCAAGAACCAGGGTGTGGTTCAGGAACAGAAACAAGCAACAAGAATGGTGAATGACAGGGGACGCGATTGCTTCTTTTGGTGGCTGTGCTGGTTTGTGCTGGTTTAAAGTGTACATGAAACTGTGTCCTGTGAATATACGCCACTTAAAATTTCTGGTGAAGTAGAGTGGCCCAACTGGCAGGGCTAACAGAGTTTGAACCAGGGTTTTATAGTTCCTCAGGACTTGTGGCTTCTGAGGTAAATGGGGGAACTTATTCTGAGCAGCAGACAAGGAACTGAAACTGCCTCTGACCCAATCATTGCCAGCCTGTGGTTTGTGATAGTTAAGTGACACACACTCACTGAGCTTGTTTTGCCTGAGAATCTTAAGAGAGTGTGGTTTTCTTGCAGCAATTTCTGGCCACACAACTGATCATGCAAACATCGGAGTCAGGGATCAGTGCAAAGAGCCTGCGTGGGCGAGACTCCACTCGCAAGCAAGATGCTTCGGAGAAGGTGAGAGTGCTGCACCCTGTGGAAGGGCACTCGGTATCTTTTGGAGAATCCCAAGATACTGCATGAAGTTCCCATACCAAAGACAGGCAGAATGTGTTTTGAGATTGCAATGGCTCCAGCATCTTCTTGTGAACAAATTTTTCTTTAAATGTGGCCATTGCTTAGATTTTAGCTCTGGAGCTGTACATCGTCCCAGAGGCAGGTCTTATGAATTATTTCTGTAATCCCAATACCTCTGTTCCCTGTTTTTAAAAAAAAGCCATGAAAAGGGTAGAAATGAACAAAACAGAGTATTGGAAGAGGCACGATGTGGCAGGGAGGGGAAGGGGGGGAGAAATGGGAGAGTGAACTCTGGCGAACAACAGAGTATTGAAAGAGGCACGATGTGGCAGGAAGGTGAAGGTGTAGAGAACTGGAAGACTAGCCTCTGCCGTGTTCTTCACTTCCTACTCAGATTTTAGAACCAGGGAATCACTCCGGTCTGGTTTGCTGTGTAAAACACACCAGAGAACCTTTGACTTCCACACTGATCTGAACTAATAGCAGCGTAGATATTTTTTTTTCCTGCTGTAAGGACGCATCCAGACTTGATTAAGTGATCTCAAGTGCTCTCAGCTGGTGCACACGACATTGTGACGGCAAGGACTGCCTGGCTGGTTGTAGTGGCGACTGCACAGTGCAGAGATTGTTTGGTAGACCAGGCCTTGCCATGGCCGAGGAGGGAATATCCCTTTCCTAGCTTTCTGCCTCTCGCAGCATCCCTCTTTTGTCCGTTTTTATGTTCCTGCTGCATAAGACTGATGCCATGTGGGAAAGGGAGTGGGGCACACGTTTCTCTACGCTCGTGTGTGGGCTCAGTGCTTCTATGTGGTGTGTGCATTTCCGTATCTGATATCTGATAAGTCCTTCTGTTTGGCCTTTTAACAGGACAGTGTCCCAATGGGCTCTCCTGCCTTCCTTCTCTCTCTCTTTGTAAGTATTGAAAGGCTCCAGCCGGTACTGCAGTACTGCTGGCAGTGTGCTCTGCTCCTTGTCTGGGTGATCACTGCACTGTCACAGCACCCTTAGCATTGCAGCGGTGTGTGTTTAACTCAGGGGCTGTACAACCACGATCGTTAGAGAAGAAACATCTCAGTCCCTTGTTCTCAGCGTGGGGGAGTGGGAGGGGCTTCAGGCTTTTCTTCTGGTTCCAAGTGTTCTCGTTCTGTCATCTGCCTTTGCTTTTTTCCACAACTTCTCTCCTGCTTTCTTTCCATATAAGTGGGAAGACAGACCAAGTGGTGCAGTACTGTAGTTCTTACATCTCTTGTGCTTATACAGCAGCCCCCTCCGCACGTTCGAGACAGTGCAAAGGGTCTTGGGAAGGTGAGGAGTCAGCTGTGTACTCCTTTATCATTCACGGTCCAGAAGGGAAATAAGATACTCTGCAGAAATACCTTGCTCTGTGCCTGTGGTGATCTGGAAGTGTTTGGAAAAATATTCCCTCCGGGAAACCCCAAGTCTCTGAGTTGCGGGGAGGAGAGAAGGGAGGAAGATGGAGAGTTGTTTTTTTCTCTCGCATATATCTAAAGACAGAGGAGTACTCCAGGAGAGTCAGCATGTCAGCCAGAGGGAGAGGGCAGCGGATCAAAGGAAGCTCTCAGCTCGCCTTCTACTCATGGAAAGGAGCTGTGCGGAGAAACTAGGGAGCTAGTGCCAGGGTCACTCAACTGGAGGAGCACTTCCCGTAGGGACCAGCAGCTGATAAGGTAGGTTAGTCAGCAGTTTCCTCTTCCCATCTTAAGAGCCAAGCTAGAATCTGCCACTTAGGAGAAAGCCTGCACTGCACAGGCTCCGAAAGCATCTGTCTGGGCGAGAGCCCTGTTGCCTCTCTCTGCCCTGGCTGCCAGCAGCGCACAGAGATGCTGCAAATCCAGCACCTGTGCTGTGTCCAGAGCGAATTGTAGGTAGGTCTGCAGGCAGGCTGCCCCAGGCCTTCGTAGGGCAGCTTCCCTTTCTCCTGTTTGGAAGGTGTGAAAAGTTGTTACCAGATGCACAATTCCTTACCTCCCCGAGTGCTGGAGGAAGTCTTTTTGCGTTTAGGGTTGCATAACTCGCTCTTTTTGTTTGCCTTGTGACTAGGACGGCGGCACCAGAGGGCGTCGCTGTGCCATCGAGGCAGACATGAAGATGAAGAAGTGATGCTGCAGGCAGACAGAAAATCCCAGCACCTGGCATCCAGAGCTGGAGCGCAAGCAAGATGCTGTTAACAGCTGTTGGGAGGAGGAAGAAAAGCTTGCAGGTCCATTTCTGGAACCTGGTCCGCCTTCTTCGCTTGCCCCTCTGGAAAGCAGCGTCTCGTCGGAATGTGTAACCCAAAGAAACTTCCCTGGAGGGGAAGACTAGCCCCCCTGCCTGTTTTAGGGCAGTCGTCTTGGGCTTCATCAGTGTTCTGGTGTTAGCTAGCAACTGGTGGCTCGTATGTACTGTAATGTGAAGTGTACAGATTTTTACTAGTGATGTGTAAATGTGTATGTATATTAAAGTCTGGGAACAAATCCAGTGTACAGCGTGCAGTGTACTTAGCATCGCAGCTCTGCAATGAGGAGCCCGGGGTTTGTACAAGGGTGCGTACGTGTCTTGAATATCTGCAGATATAACTCTCTTCCAGTCATCCATACAGCACCCAAGCACGGCAGAGCTTTGACACTAGAGACAATCCGTTAATCGTGGGAATGTTGGATGGAGGGGAAGATTCCCTGCTTGAGCGTGTGAGAATATGGCACTGTTGCGATGAAACGGGAGATCTAACCATGAGAAGTTAAATACTACAGTCTTGTTGGAGCTTTCCTTAAGAGACCAATGTACTGAAACGTACCTTGCGTTCTTTCCCCAGCAATTTGTCAGAGTGAGAATCTCCTGCCATTCCAGCAGCTGTAGGCATGCTAGTACCTGGTTTCACACTGGAGCTTGTGAACTGTTTCTCTCCACTGGAAATTACGGTTCTTTCCCTCAGCAGCACGGATGCTTAACTGAGTTTTAAGTTCTTTCTGACAATTTTCAAGCCACCTTCTTCTTTTCTGCTCGTACGACCTGTGAGGTGAAACTTGCATATTTTCTACCCCCATGACCTTCCAGGGGAAAAAAAAAAACGAACCAACGTTATTCCTTCCTGTGCTTGCAGCGGCTGGGAGGGGGGTGCGCGTCTTCGTGCAGCAGGGACAGGGGCGCAACTTTATGACCTTCTTCTTTTCTGCTCGTACGACCTGTGAGGTGAAACTTGCATATTTTCTACCCCCATGACCTTCCAGGGGAAAAAAAAAAACGAACCAACGTTATCCTTCCTGATGCTTGCAGCGGCTGGGAGTGGGCTGCGCGTCTTCGTGCAGCAGGTACAGGGCGCAACTTTATGACACAGAAGTTGCAGGAAACTGAGCCGCTGCGATTAAGACCAGAGGGATTTTTACCTTACCTTGATTTTTCACAAGTTTTGTGTTGAAATTGGTTATGCCTGCTGTGTTGAGTCCCGTGTTTGGCTGAGGTGTATTTCCATCAAGAATCACTCTACGTTTGAGGCTAGAAATGTAGAATCCTTTGGTTTGCTGGCTGGTTAATTTTCCTTCACTGCTGAAATTGGGAACGAATTTCCGATTTGGACTTTGATGGCCTCGGTTTCCAGAGATGACAGGTTGTTAAGTTCATAGCACAAAAAGTTACGTGTTTCTTTTGGTTTCTGGTACTTTATGGAATAATTTAAGTTGGAAGGGACCTCTGAGCGTTTCTCCAGTCCAACCTGCTGCTCAAAGCAGGGCCAGCTTCAGAGGTAGATGGGGTTGCTCGGAGCCTTGTCAGGTTTTGAAAATCTCCAAGGATGGAGATTTCCCTAACCCCTCTGGACAACTTCTTTCAGTGCTTACCCACCCCCACGGAGTAAACATTTACCTCGTATCCAGTCTGAATTTCCTTCAGTGCAGCTTGTCGCTGCCTCCTCTCCTTTCGCTGCAGGCCACTAAGAGTCGCACTCCGTCTCCTGTAACGCCTCTGCCCCGTCTTTGTCCGTGTTGAGCAGCTGAAGCTGCAGCGCGCGGGAGGACCTTCATCATGCCCGCTAGTAACTCACTTTCGTTATGGAAAGCACCGCTGTTCGTTCCTGCCCTAGGTTTCTTCTCTTAACCAGATATTTTTCCTTCAAAGAGCCTTTTCTCTTGTCCCATGACATCTTAATAGCCATTAATGATGTTTAAGATCTTTAAAACTCTAAGATATGATTTTCCTCTTTCCGTTGCCTTTCTCCCAATTCATCATCTCGTGCTCTGACTACGAATTCTGTTCTTCAGCTCAGGCTGACTGTGCCGCATCTCCCACCATCCACCCTTTTACAGACGTGCAACAATCGCATCTTTCTGCTTTTCTGGTGCTGCGGCTATTTTAAATGACGGGTTACACAGCATAGGTTTGGTCGTGTTAGATTTAAGCTTCTTTAGGACTCGGGAGTGAATCCCAACTGGTTCTAAGGTTTACTCCGGCCCTCCAGTTGTTCTAAACCCTGCCCATTGACATTTTAATGAGAAACAGTCTCTCAGACCCATCCCAAGAGAAAGTCCCGTGTGATCTCCTCTGGCAACTGCTGATAATGATGATTAATTTGGTTTTTCCAACTGGCCCTATTTTCCGCTGAGATGTTTGGCACTGATATGTGTCATTCCCACTGATCATCTGGCAGCTCTCTGCTTCTGATGTTTTTGATGAGGTTTGTTGTTGTTATTTGCTTTTATGTCTTTAGCAAATTGTTCTTCAATTTTTTTCCTCTTTGCCTACTTTTTTGTGGATTCTACATTTCATTTACTAGAGTTCAGGCTTTTATCATTTTTCTTGTTTTGACATGTAAGTTCCTTTTAAAGGCCGTCTTTTTTATTTCTAACAGCTTTTTCTCACGTTGGTGAGGGGTGCGCAGCGTCTGATCTCTGCAAAGCGAACTAAAACTTTCCAATTGGATAATGATTCCTTGCCGGTGACTTATGTAGCCAACGTAATTAAGAACTGTCAGGCGGTTCTTAATTAAATGTTGAAGTCTGTATCTTTCTGTCCCTTATTTTTTGTACAGAATCAGTGTGGAACTAAGCAGTCTGTAGTTATTTCACGCATCCCGCTTGTCTTGCGCTAACGCTGCTGCTCCGCTCTGGTGTCCCGAGTCTTCCAAGATTTAGCAAACCTGAACATAAGGCCGAAGATCTTTTTAATCGGTGCTTACAGCCAAGTTCCCCAGGCTTCCTGGTTTTAAAATGCTTATCCCTCTCCGCTGGAGTACAGAAAGACGATCACAAGTGATTGGATTACCCTAGGCTAAGGCTTTTCTGTTCTTCAGCTGAGCTGCAGTGGCTGGTTCTGCGTGCGTGGCCGGCTCCGCTGACGCTGCAGGAAGGCGCTTGAGGCGCGGGGTTACCAGATGAAATCATAGTTTGCCCAACTCCTTTGGCTGGAAGCTGAGAGCAGGTACTGTTATCTCTTACCTCATCAAATTTTATCTGCTTCCGCTGAAGTTAACTTTGAAAGAGGTTTCAGAAGGACGGCGTTTCAGATCCCAGCTCTGCTTGTAAGTTCATAAAATAAGCAAACAAGTTTTCTCCTCCCAAACCCAATGGATTCCTTATTTCTCCCAGGTAGGCACCGTAAGCTTTATTTGTAGCTGTGCTCGCAGTCCTGAGAATGCAAAAGGAATTCAGTGAGAAATGTGCTAGTTCAAAATTCTGTAAAAATTAGGTTGTACCTAATTAACTGAGAACTCTAAAGACACTGCTAATTAACGCATAGAACCCTCCATAGGCCCAGCACCCAGGCAGCTGACTTCAGCGGCAAGGTACAGATTTTTCTAACAGCCGTTTACTGTTGGTACTGTGACTCTGCAAGCAATTCCCCAGCCTTAGAGAAATCATAGTGGACTCGTGTGGTAGAAGACGCTTAGGCATGGACTAACGAACAGAGATGAAATGAATGGTTTCTTCCTTCTTAAGAGAGTGCTGACTTTTATTTTCTGAAATGGGTAGAACTGTCCCTGCGTGACTCTGCGTGGTTATAATTCTTCTGGCTCAGGTACACAATATATCACCATCCTGCTAAATCACATCTGTCCCTTTCAAAACAAAGTTTCTGTGGTGTTTGTAAGAAGTTATTTCCAGTATGAAACGTTCCCAGCAAAAGGAATTTCAGTGAGTTGTCCTCGGAGTCGCTAGTTTTTCACAACTGTGAAAGCAGCTCAGGAGCATGACTTGGTTTTGGGCTTGCTGCTGGCTGCCTTTGGCACCTTAAATATTTAGTATCCGACAAAGCCGCGTGCTCCTAACCAGCTCAGCATCCCCCGAGCACAGTAACCCCCTGACCCCCGGGCAGCACAGCAAAAGCACCAGAAAACCTGAAATTCAGTTGCTCTGAAATGGCAGTTTGTGTTGCAGAGCTACGGCCCTGCCACGTGCTGTCAAGCGTGGGCTCAGCTGCAGGCTGCTCGCCTCGCGGAGTCCATCGGCTCTCTGAGTATGTCGGGAAACGAGCTGGGCTTTGCAGCTCTGGACCAGGGTACAAAGAAATTGCTGTCTCTATGTTTGTTTGCAGGTGGGCCATGCCTGGGTGTGGTGGGAGTCTGAGGTGGAGTCTCCCAGCGAGTCAGAGAAGAACAGTGACTGCCAGTCGCTTCTCAGCTGGGATTCAAGCTTGGATCTGGACGTGGGGAGCTGGAGGAATACTGAAGAGGTGGCCATGGGGAGGCTAGAGGAGAGCAGCCGAGAGGCAGACGGCGAGATGGAGTTCAGTGAGCCTCTGTGGGAGGAGGATAGTGAAGACTACCAGAAGGCAGAGAGGCCATGTGAAGATGACGGTCTTCTCCAGTTCTTCTCAGAGGTAGGGCTCTTTGGATGACGGGAAAGTGGGTGGCATCGCTCAGGCCCTCCTGAAACATGAGGGTTTTCAGGGCCTCCACCATCCCTACACAGAGAAACAGTCTGGGGGAGGAGCAGATGCCCGGAGTTCGCTTGCTCCCTGTCCCAAGCCTAGCCCTTCCTCCCATTTAAAGCTGGCACCGCAACCCAGCAGCTGCTTTGCCAAAACACAGCTCGCCCTGAAGCAGAGAGATGTCAGTGAACTGACACTGCAATAACAACACAGGGCTTCATCAGGAGATTTTGCAAGGATTCCTAAAAATGGAAAGGCGTTCGTGAGCGAAAGCAAAAATAGCATCTGTGCTGCTTATTTCTTCTCCCTTTTGCCTTCACGATTTGAAGCAATAAATCTCTGTGTCGCAGGTAACCCAGATGATGGCACCTCTCCGCATTAGCAGCACAGAGCCATCACAGGCTCAGAGGGATTATTGCGGCACTGGGAAGCAGGATGATGGGGAAGATGTGAGGTGCCAGGAAAGGACCACAGGGACAGCGGTCTCGGGAGCAGATGAAAGTCAACTACACGTCCTGGCAGATGAGAAAGAACACTTCCCGGGAAGAGAGGTAGGGGAGGGGTGGTCCCAAAAGAGCCTCTGGTCCTGGATGAGAGACGGGTTCCTTGTGGGGACATGGGGACACAGAGGAGGAGACAGCAGGGAAGGGAATGCAAAAGAAATGTATGAGGGGAAGGATGGTTTTTATGTACGGAGATGTATCTTTATGAACAGGAAGCTTGTTACAGATCAAACCCTCAGATGTGAGTTGGAGGAATTGCTCCTTGGCAGTGTAAAGGTGACTCATGAGAGCTGGCAGTCTGTTCTCAGGTTTAAGGCAAGACTGGAATACTTGCCTTGTTCTAATTGCTGTGTTATGCAGCACACAGCTTGGCTGGTTTCAGGCCCACGTGGCTGTGATAGCAATAACCATCTGCCCCTGGAGACCGTCATGTCTTGGAAGCAGGCGCTGTCTAGCCTGGGTTTACATCAGTCCTGAGACGAGGGGGGCTGTGGGCTCCCACCAGCCTGCGAGGCGTTGCTGGGACAGGGGACACAGCAGTGGAAGAACAGTGCTGTTTTTCCACGCTCACATTTGTTCCCTTGCAAACTGAGACACTGGAGACAGAAATAACTTTGAGGGTTCTCGCACTTCACCTGTTCAGCCACGACGGTGTTATTCCCTTGTGGTTCTCCCAACACAGCACAGCATCCACTTTCTTCCTGAGGAGTCTGCTCCATGTTTCAGATCTGTTGAGGGTTCTCAGGTACCCCTGCACATAATCCCACTTCTGGATTCCAAAAAGCCTCTCTCCCTGCAGCTGTCACTCTCTATATTTTATTGGCAAATCACTACAAGAACAGCAACGCTCTCCTTCCCGGCTGAGTCTGTTCTCTGTCATATTCATGTGGGAGTTTGTGAGGAAACAACCTTGTTGCACTCTAGAGGATCCTCTTACCTGTGTCTTGAGCTTTAAGAAGCCTGAGGCACTCTTACCTCAGCTCCTGATCGCCCTCTCACATCCATGACTCTTCCCAGAAAAGCAGACAGACACTGGGCACCAGTCAGCTCCACAGCAAGTGTTAGCCAGAGGTGGTTATGATCCAAGAGATCAGACCCAGCTGTAACTGGAGTGAAGCACAGCGAAGGTCAAACGTCATCCTCCAGAATAACAGAGAGCGAGCTAGCTCCTAGCTGAGACTGGATGCAGTAAAGGGGTGTGCAGCAGGCTGGCTTCTAGATAAAGGATTCAGGTGATACGCTGCCATTTTAGACGTATCTTCCTTTTCCCCTGTGCTCTTCAGGAGAAGACTCAAGAGACACCTGAAGAACAAGCTTCAGGTGAGCCGCATCCACAGGAGACGAGTAATCGGGCCCAGGATGACGATGAGAGTGATGGCACCTCTGCAGCTTCCATGCTGGACCCCACAAGCCCTGCCAACACGCAGCTGTGAGTAGTTCGTTCCGCTCTCTTGCGGGCGCAGCAGAGCAGAGTTGTTTCCCTTGTCTCACATGAGAACGAGCGTGTGGCAAAGGTCACCTCCAGGAAGGTGAGATAGCCAAGGAGAACAGAGGGAAGGAGGTAGCTTGTGCTACCTCTGTGGATCTGCCAGCATTTTGGGGCATTGATCCTAAGCTGAAGTGAGAAGAGTAGAGATTAAGTAAGAGATTAAATGGAAAATACGTGTTTCCTCAAGGCAGCCAGGCCTTGTGTGAGCTGCTTTGGCAGGCAATGACCAGCCCAGCTCCTAAGAGAGGCATCGCCAGCCCCCTTCAGGCAGGCGCAGGCGTGTCGGCCACATGCAGGCTCCGCCACATGTGTGATCACCTGGGCTGCCTTTTGATGGAAAACCACAGTTTACCGGGATGAGAAACTGAATAAAACCCACCTCAGTAAAGTTCTGAACTTCACAGTAGCATGAGCTTTTCTATCCAACTTAATCCCGCCCTTTAGAGCTGCTCAGCTCAGATCTTGTTTCTACCTATTGCCCGCCATCTTCCTGCATTCCGGGCATTTAGTTGTGCATTCAGATGCAGAACGCTTCCACCATCTCACCCGGAGAGCCTTTGCATAGCTACAGCAAAGGATCTCTGCGCTTCATCCACCTGGACGTGGTGGGTGCTAGCAGAATTGCCACCTCCTACTTTGTCGAGAGTGGGATGAGCTGACAATATATTCCCTCCACAGGGTGCAGCTGAGCTGGGATAACCCCCTGCAGCATTTGCTCTTCAAAAGAACTTTCCTGTCCATCTGGAAGATGATAGCCAGTCACAGGTATGTGAGGGCAAAGGGTTGGGTTGACGTGGCTGCTGAACACATTGCCCTGACTTCCAGCTCCTTCCAAGCCCTGGTGTCCCCTCCAGGACAGCCACCACAGGCTGGCTTGTCTCTCCATGGCTTTGCTTCTGGCTCTCCTCACAGCAAGAACAGCTGCCTGCTGCAAAGCTGGAGAGAACACCGCATATTTATTTCCTCTCCTTAATGTGGCAGAGCCCAAATGTTGCTTCCTACACAGCTGGCATAGCCAGCTTCAGCGAGGGGCTCAGCCTCCTCCCGTGCCGAGTCATGACAGCCACCGACTGCTGGCTGTTGCTAATCGGCCGTGGCCCTCACGGCAAGCAGGGAGAGGCAAGCACTGGTCCGTGCTGCGATGTTGTCTGTGGCGGGGAGGCAGACAGAGGTCGTTCTTTGTGCTTGTCCCTGTAGATACAGCGGCCCGTTCCTGAAGGCGGTGTCAGAGAAACAAGCCCCTGGATACAGGGATGTGGTAAAGAGGTGAGTTTGTGGAGGAAGTGCTCGCTAGTTGATTTCTCCCTGTTTTTTCTGTCTTCTCTGCTTTCCAAAGGGCCAGTGGGACAGTTTCCTTCCTCCTTTTCCAGAATTTGGCTGCCACCAGCATCTCCCACTGATTTCTCTTATTAAAACTCCCCTCCAGGTCATTAGAACCTGGAAGCTTGCACTGACTCTGGAGCTGACAGGAATTGTGCCTGCCCTTTGCCGGCGCTGCATGGCTGACTTACTCCAGGCACAGTCCGTGCAGCTCTAAGCCCTGCCTGAGCAGGGGACGCAGCTTCTGCAGCTCAGCAGTCTCTTCTCAACCGTCTCCTGGGCCGCATCCCCCGCAGCGTGGCCAGCGGGGCGAGGGAGGGGATTCTGCCCCTCTGCTCCGCTCTGGGGAGACCCCCCTGGAGCCCTGCGTCCAGCTCAGGGGTCCTCAGCATGGGAAGGACATGGAGCTGTTGGAGCGGGGCCAGAGGAGGCCACCGAAATGCTCCGAGGGTGGCACAGCTCTGCTGTGAGGACAGGCTGAGAGCTGGGGGGGTTCAGCCTGGAGAGGAGGAGGCTGTGGGGAGACCTCATTGCGGCCTTTCAGTGCTTAGAGAGGGCTTATAAGAAAGGTGGGAACAGACTTTTTAGCAGGGCCTGTTGCGATAGGACAAGGCTTAATGGTTTTAAACTAAAAGAGGGGAGATTCAGAGTAGATATAAGGAAGAAATTTTTTACAATGAGGGTGGTGAAACACTGGCAGGGGTTGCCCAGAGGGGTGCGAGATGCCCCATCCCTGGAAACATTCAAGGCCAGGCTGGACGGGGCTCTGAGCAACCTGATCTGGTTGAAGATGTCCCTGTCCACTGCAGGGGGATGGACTGGATGGGCTTGAAAGGTCCCTGCCATCCCAAAGCGTTCTGTGATTCTCCCCATGGTGGAAGCGTGTGCCTCGGTCGATACCCTCTCCTCATCCACTGCTCGTTCCCCAGATGTTTCACTGTCAGTGGAGAAGCAGGTCATAAGAATATTTCACAGAGAGATTGAGGGCATTTTTCAGAGCTGAATAATTTTCTATTCTGGTCACAGTTGTCCTCTCTGCAGCCATTCGTTTTCTCATTCTGTCAAAATAAGGGAAGTAATATTTTTTCTCCATCATGTTCCCCTTATCAGCACTGCTATTTTTGCTAGTGGCACCATTTGATTTTAAAGGATTTTAATGGATACCTATTTTAGTAACTTCTTTCTCCACTAAGACCTGGACTGACTTCCTGAAGCCTAATTACCAGAATCGCTCTGCTTGCCTTCTCTGGAGCTCAACATCAAAATTTTTTGAGAGGTGACTGCTGATGACCTGCCAAGTTGATTGGATAGCAGGTGTCGCATTGGCCAAACTTACTTTTGTCTGACTTAGAAGAAAAACATTTCTCTCTCCCTCTCTTTGTCCTGAGCAATAAAATTGACTGAAAATAGCTGTGTTTTCAGGGCCATGCTGAAACGAGAACAAGCACGTTCATGCAGAGCCTGAAGAATGCCTGGCCCTGGGTTGCAATTTAATTCTCCTTCTCGCTGTGTTTTGTAGACCCATGGATTTAACCAGCATAAAGAGAAGGCTGTCAAAGGGACACATTCAGTCCATGGTCCAGTTCCAGCGTGACCTCATGCTCATGTTCCAGAACGCGGTGATGTACAACAGCTTCAACCACCACGTGCACCGCATGGCCACGGAGATGCAGCGAGAGGTCTTGGAGCAGCTGCAGATGCTGGGTGAAGCCCTCCTGTGCTCAAGGGACAGGCTGGGGTGGGGGAGAAGGTAACGGAGCCGCATCTGAGGCCTGTGTCTTTTGGAGCAGCGTTGTCTCCCTGGCTCAGGAGGTCTGCTGGGGCTCGGGGGATGTGCTGACACGGCAGCCGTGTCCTTCAGCAGACCCTGTTTTCCTCCCGTGGTGCCTGCCAGGTTGATGGGATAAGGAACAAAGCGGTTCCTAGGAGGGGCACCGGAAGGGAAACCTCCTTTCTTCCCTGGGAAAAGCAGCAGCGGAGCCCTGCAGCGAGAAAAGATTCCCTGGGACAAAAGAAAAAAAAAAAAAGGGGAGAAAATCATCTTTGTGACCAGTTGGGATGAGTCGGGGCCCAGCCGGGTGACGGCGGCCGGCTGCACCCCGGGGCGCTGCGCGAGGGCTCTCTTTGGCGTTGCTGTGTTGGGGTTGGCACTGGGTGGAGCGTTACCGCCCCGCGGCCTGCGCCCACCGCGGAGGCCGGCGCCCGAGTAAAGGCCCGTGTTGAAAGCTTGTTCCCGTGTGTTTGGCACCGCGGCGTGGGCGGGGAGGGAGCCCGGGGGCGAGGGGAGCC